CTTAGGAGAACCAGCTGCTGGCCACCCTTTCCAGGGCACGATTTCATACGAATACCACCGGCTAACACACTTGCGTACCACTTACTGTGTGCTGGGCTCTGTTATTTTGTAAATTATTGCTTCTGTTTTGGAGATGGAGTTAAGTACAGCAGGCCTACAGTTAGTGAGCCGGACCAGGATTCCTAAGTGGATGATGTGGCTCAAGTTCATGGCCTTACTCACTGTACCACACTGTCCCCCTTTAACCTCAACAGCCTTGAGCCTCAGGCACAGCTTCAGAGTGTGAAGCATTTCTTAGCAAAATGATGCATTAAACAAATAAAGAAGGATGAGTGTGATCTAGAGGAATTAAAACCAAAGGCAACTTGCAAACACTGAGCTAAGTACAGATAATTAATTACCCCTAAGAGGGCAAGCATCTCATGGAAAATAGGAATTGAAACAGCATACTTGGTAAGTGAGTAAGTAGCCCCCAACTCCATGTGTCTCAATACAGTCTTTTTAAATGACTAATATATGTAACAATCTCTCTATTCTTATAAAATGAATTCATAGGTGATACAATACACCATGAATGTAACTTAAAAAATTCAATACAATGTTTTAGCTGCAACATAAAGGAAAATAAAAAGGAAGTAATTTATATTTTAAAAGAATATATGCCAAAATATAAATCATTGGCCATGACTTTTTTTTAAGAAAACATTAAAAAATTACTATTTGCTTATATTTACTTAACATGAAAAAGCCACGGATTTAAAAGAAATGAAGTTAGAAAATATTCCTTACAGGAAAACAAAAGAGCAAAGGAACAGGGAAACACTATAATAAAAAGTGTCTGATAAGTAATAACAGGCCAAATTTTCTTGTATCTGATAATAGAGGGAAATTGCCTTAATTGAAGTAGGGATCTATGCCAAAGAAATTAGACATGGATGAAACAGAGAAGCATAATGTACTAGAATCAGATAAGTAATGTTAACACACCACAACAGGTTGCCAGTTTTTAAAAAAATCATTCTGTGGGACTTACTTTGTTAGTAGTGATGTCAGTATTATTTTGAGAGATAGACACTTGATAATTAATGAAGGGCCATCAATAATAATAAATATTAAAAAAAGAAAACAAATTGAGTATAGATACTGTATTTTCTAATTTATTCAGTATGAATGTAGAGTAGACAGAATGTGGAATAAAGTATTCAAAAGCTGCAAGCTAATATCTTTATTCTGTTTGCATATCTCCAGAATGACTGCTTTCTAAACCACTGGATGTTTTCTGTTATGTCTTGTGAAAACTCATGTCACTATGGTGTATAAAAGAGCTACTACTTTACTAATCTGTAAAGAATTTTACCCAACAGGAAGATAGATAAGTGACTTTAGAGACAGCTTTTCGTTGTGCAGGATGGTCACACACACTCAGGATGTCTGGCATTCCTTATCCTACCAGTTAAAGGCTGGTAGTGACCCCAATCTATTTGACAACAAAAACTGCCACCCATGGGGTTCCAAAATACCCTGTGGGGACTGGTTAAGTGAAATCTACAATATCTCACAACTACACTGTTGGCTTATTTTTAAAATAAATTTTATTATGTATATTTGAAGTTTGCAAAGCTATGAGATACATATTAGATAGTAAAATGGCTGCTGTAGTGAAGCAAATTAACATGTCTTCATCTTACATGGTTTTATTTTAATTGTTGCATTTAAGCAATTATTTTATCATATCCCTAAATATGTGTTTAAGTTATACCAAAATCTGAAATATACATATAAAATCAGTACAACATACTGATTTTTACTTACCAGACTCGAATGTTTCTTCATCTGTGGTTTTCCAGAGAGGCAAAAGCAAAAATGTTATTTCATTACTATCCACACTGAGCCTATATTTTAGCAGTTTAATTGCCAAGTCTGTGCTTCTGCCCATTCACTACCTTTAAAATATTTTTCCTAGGTTGAGGTGAAGTCAGCAGTACCTCTATAGCACATATATGTCTTAAGTGAGATACACAATAGTTAGGCTGTTATGACAATTGGGGATGCAGCAGAACTTAAAATAAATAAGTAATAGCAGAGAAAGGAATAAATAAACAGACCTTTAAAAGGTTTGGAAGGGCAAAATGGAATGTTGCAGGGAAACTGCTGCAGTTTGTTGGGCACCGCATAGCCTTGCTGCTGGAGGGCTTGTAGGCAGGGGAGGGACAGGCCTGGCCTGCAGAGTTGGAGGCCCACAAGCATGGCAAGTGTGGCAAGAAGAATGAGGACATGAATGGCTTGACTGAATAAGCTTGTTCAGGTAACTGAGAAAGACATAAGTCAACTCCTTCATTAGTTGAAACAATTCTTGTTAGCATTTAAAAAACATCTTAAGGATTAAGAAACTAGAATTTATATAGGGGGAAATTTGAAATATATAGTAACATTACTAATGCATGTCCCCTTAGGTCAAGCAACGCTGTATCTACGGGTTACTCATATGTTAAATGATATATTTTTAAAGCTATTCATTGTAACACTACTTACAATAGAAAAACATATTTCAAACGTTTACAAATAAGTGATTGTATACAATAAGTTCTCTAATCCCAGGGCCTCACAAACAAACAACAAAAACTGAACAGGGAAACATGGAAAGAGGAGAACTTCTTATTGAATCTGCTTTTGTAATTTTTGAATTTTGAACTATGTGAAACGTAATACTTTAATAAAATTTTTAATTAAAATTGTAAAAGGGCAATAATATTACTGTGAGTTAAAAAACCCAGAATGTGTAGTTGGTAAAATAAGCATAGTATCAGCTTTTTTCTGCAGTTTTTCAGGGAAATATAAATGAATCTTTCAAATAATTCCTTCACTTCTGAAAACTAGAATAGCACATAAAGCCAAGACAAATTATCCATCAGGTTAGGGGCTCTGCAACTAGTTTCCCAATAAAACCCTAGTGATTTTTTTTGTGGGGTGAGGTACCGGGGTTTGAACTCAGGGCTTTGACTTGCCAGGAGGTGTTCTACCACTTTAGCCACACTCCCCGTCTTTTGCTTTTAGTTTGTTTTTCAAATAGAGTCTCTCACTTTTGCCCAGGAGACTTCAAACTGTGATCCTCCTACCTATTCCTTCTGAGTAGCTGGGATTACAGGCATATGCCACCAACGCAAAGCCTCTCACTAGTACCAATCTTAGTACCACCACTAGATTTGAAGAAAGAAATCATCTTTTTCCAATTTACAAAGAAACCTTAAATATAGAAATGTAAAATGCTTTCATACAGTTCTCAAAATTTTAGACCTTACTACTATCTATCACAGAAGATGGTATCAAACTTGTAAAAAAATATATATTTGCTTTTTAAACGTTTAGTAACACATTATTTTATGCTACTCCACAAACAGCATAGACATTTCCAGGTGATCCATCATCTAAAACACTATCATTAAGTATTCCTGAGATAATTTCCAAAGTCCTGCTTTTTAGACACTTTCCAGAAGGTTGGTGGAGCCTGGAGACATTCTCACAGCCGTACTTCAATTTCCAAGTGCAGACCCACAGTAAAAGGTGGGGACCATTTTACACATTTCTCCAAAGAAAGGGCCTGTGGCCCTTTGGCCACCTCTGCTTCAGATCATCTGTAGCTGAGGTGCTTCCTAGTTCTGGTGATAAGTCAACCAACAAGAGATTACCTGCTTCTACACATTTCTCATCAATCTTCATATCATCTAAAAAAGAGCATAGAAAGGGATAGTTAGAACTTACAAGTGTTAGCATTAAAAACATGTTTGCTATGCAGAGGTTATGTCAATAAAACTCAGCCAATCTTACAATGTTCCTCTTAGAACTTGAGATAAAATGGGCCCTACTGTTTTAGATGAAATATACGATATGGGAGGAAATATAACATTAAACTGGTTAAAACTTAAGAAGTATTGGCAGCCAAGCATGGTGGTGTGTACCTGTAATCCCAGCACTCAGGAGGCTGAGCAGAAGGATTGAAAGTTGGATGCCAGCTTGGGCAATAGGGATGGGGGGGAGCATTGGCATTTTTAATGCTGGACAAATTACTTATACTAAGCCTCTGTTCAATCTCTATGAATAGCAAAATATACCTACCACATAGGATAGGATTCACTGAGATAATGCATGAAAAACTCAGGCACAGGGCAAGTAATCAATAAATGGTAACTACTTTTACCTGTAGCTGAGGTATATAAATGAGAATAAAAGAATTTAACTTCAAAAAAAAAAACCCACTTATCCTAACACTCAAAACCTTCCATAATGTGACCTGAACCCCACTTGGAAGGTCCACTTTTCTCCTTCACATCTCTCATACTACCTTAGAGCCTGCTCCTGTTTCTTCCTTTGCACCTTAACTTATGCTGTTCCCTGCCACTGGTAAATGAATGTCCTTGCTCTGAACGACATAGCCTTTTCTCCCCACTGTCAACTCTCCACTGCTGTGCTTCTTACTTTGTAATATAATCATTTGGGTGTTTTGCCTTATTCACTCTCATAGTCTGCTCCTTATGAGTTTTACATTTTCTACAGGGCTTAATCCAGGGCTTTGCACATAGTAGGTATATGATAAATTATTTATTTCATTGACTCTTCCTTTGAATATCAGAATAGTTTTATTTGAATATATGTTCTGAATTTTTTTCTTTCAGCACTGTGAATACTGTGCCTAGAAGTGCCCAGCACTTCTCAGGGGCTCCACAAATAGTGGTTTAATAAATGAGTCTTATACATGTTCCAAAGCATAGTCTATTTTGTTTAATGAGTTATATATATCATAAAGTAATGTTTATCACCACCCCCTTAAAGCACATCAGTCATTGATATTTTAAAAGGAATAGTAAAAAATTATAAAATAACAGTTTCATGGAGGTAGGGCACAGATAAACAAGTGACATAAACAAAACCAAAAAAGTGATAGCTCATGTTTCTATCTGTATCATTCAATCCTTATATTCATTTAGAGATTATTTTCCAGATTAGCCATTTATAACAATAAGTTCATTTGTTCCCAGGGTACAACTAGAAGGTTTTATAAGGCTAACAAAACTGTAATTGTCATCCTGTTTTGCAAGTGAAGGTTCAGGGATCTGAACCTTTTGGAGAATAACAGCACAGGAGCCCTGACTCTTCTGACATGTGACTTTTGGGTCAAGGACAGGGCTACTGACTTTTTTCTCCCCAAATCAACTGCTTCACATTATCAGCTAGGGTAGGTGTTTATGGACTGAATATCCATATAATGAGGCTCTCACCCCCAATATGACTATATTTGAACATAGGACCTTGAAGAGATAAGTAAGGTTAAGTGAGGTCATAAAATTGGGCCCTAATCCCACAGGAGTAGTGCCTTTATAAGAAAAAGAGACACTAGTCATTCTTCCTGCAACCATTCACTTTGGAAAGGCTACACGAGCACCTAGTGAGAAAGGGACTATCTGCAAGCTAAGAAGAGCCTTCACCAGAAGCCAACTCTGCTGGAACCATGACCTTGGACTTCTAACCTCCAGAACTCTGAGAAAATGTCTGTTGTGGTATCTTGTTAGGGAAACCTAGGCTAAGACAGTGGTTTTCCTACACGCCGAGCCCAAAGATTGCCTCAGGGCCACTCCCAGGCTGTCCTTTGTAATGTTCAATAGTGTGGTCTGTGACGCGGCCCTGGCTAGACAAATCCAGGAGTCACCCTGGACTTGCCCCTCTCCATCTCCTTCTGGTCCCATGTCTGCCATCATCTATTGGTGTCACACTGCTCCTGTCCTTGGGGGACACCGGCTGGAACCTGTACTGACAGAGCAGCTTTACAAAGTCACTCTCTTGCAGTCCTCAGGTCTCCCTTTCCAAGTTGAAGGGTGAACTGTGAGTGGTAGCTAAGGAGGCTGTTTTTCTCTTTATCTCTGCAGACAACATCGTGCTTGTGTGTGTGTGTGTGTGTGTGTGTGTGTGTGTGTCTGTGTGTGTGTATGTGTGTGTGTGTGTGTTACATCATGCATCAAACAGCTAGCTGGAAAAGGAGACATGGAAGGGGTAATAATCTAAGGCCACATTTACTCCCTGATTAGGGATCTTCAGCCTGAGGGAGGTGTAAATCCAGGCCACATTATCTATAACTTCTGAAACTGTTTTTACTTTTCTGAACCTTAATCTTTGCATCTATAAGATGGGAGTAATAATAACAATTTCCTTATAGTTTTATTTTTATAAAGTGTGTATAAAGCAGTTGAAATAAGATACCTGACCAGGTTCTGAGTTCTATTTTTACCTTCTTCCATAGAAATCGCTTGATACAGATTGAAGCAGGGAAAAAACAAACATAATGGCTTAATCTCCTGATTTTTTACATTAATTTACAATAAGAAAAGCAAAGTGATAACATAATTATAATTAATACTCTAGAAATCCAGAGGAGATTTGGTAACAAAATGCTTAATGACTGCCCTATAGAAACCAATACATTTGTGAGGCTGTTTGGATACAGGGATCTACTTGCTTCTGGACAATCCATCACCTTCCATCCCAGCAAGCTCTATTAGGCTGTGTGCTACTCATTTCTGAGTTAGTGGGCTTAGTTCAGCATTCTTTAGGAATTCAAATCTTGAATGGAGGGAAGGTAGGAAGGAAGAAAGGAAGGGAAGGAAGGAGGGAGGAACTTTAAGAGAGAGGGAAGAAGGAAGGAAGGAAAAGAGAAGTAGGAATGACAACAAACAACAAAACCACAACTTTTACTAATAATCTGCACAGTAACATAGCCTGGAATTTTTTCAAAAACTCTCGATTAATAAAATTGCTTTTGCTCCTAACTCAGTAGCTTGTCCCTAAGATTTGTTTCTCCTACTCTAAGCTTTAAGCAGAGCAGAAATGTGCAAAATAATATGTATTGCAACATCATCTACAACAGTTAAAAAGAAATGTTCTAGTGGTTTTTGAAAATAATCACACTTCATCAGAAAACATTCCCTTCATTGGTGACTCCAGCCCTGTGGTCCCAGACTCAGGTACATGTAAGGATAACAACAGGGTGATGCAAACTACTTTCAGTATGGACTTTCCAAAAAAGTCTAAAATCACTCTTAGGAGAGTGAGGTGTGGCGGCATACATCTTTAACCCCAGCACTCCAGAGGGAAGAGGAAGGAACATTGTGAATTTGAAGCTTCCCTGGGCTATAGAGCGAGTTCCAGGTCAGTCAAGAGGTACATAGTGATACCTGTCTCAAAAAAAAAAAACATACTTAGGTTACATGACTAAATTACATGTCAACTAGGGTTAACTAGTTATCAGATACTAATAGAAAAGCTAATTAGCATCTCCATGGCCTTTGATAAGTGAAAGAGGAAAGTAAATTAAAGAATTCTTTCAATCTGTTTTGGTGGGTTTTTAAAAATCTTTTAAAAACATGAATGAAATAGCTAAAATATCACTATGAAGATTATGTCACAAAAATGTTTCTGATAAGATATTGAGTTTTAAAAAGAGAAAAAAGTGGCAGTATAGATACTTCTGTAATCATGTATAACATGTTTCCATAACTAAAAGATATATGAAAATATTGTTAGGGAGAAGGAATCATTAGAAAGATTTTTCGAACCAGGTGTGGTAAGGCATGTCCCAGTACTTAGAAGGCGGGGGATTGCAAGTTGAAGGCCAGCTTGGTTACAATAGTGAGTCCATCTCAAAAAGCAAAATAAAAATCCCCATCAAACAAGAATGTTTTCTTCTTTCAAAAGTGTCTTTTTGGGGGCCAGGCATAGTGGTGTACAGCTATAATCCTGGCTACTTGGAAGGCAGAGGCAGAAGGCTCTCCATCTAAGGCCAGCTTGGGGACAATCTTAAGACCCTATCTGAAAAACAAAATACAGCAAAAAGGGCTGGAGGAGTGGCTCTACTGGTGAAGGCAAGGCCCTGCGTTCAAAATCCAGTACTGCCACCCCCCAAAAAGTCTGTGATTGTCATTATAACTTTTCAATACAAAAATAAAGGAAAAGATAATTTTTTACTAAAAGAAGTAAGAAATAATAAAATGAGTGAGGGGATGCCAAGGCAAATCTGAGCCATTAGTGCCCTCTGTTGATATCTGAGTGAGACAGATGCCCTTGAGGGAAACTCCCATAGTAACACACCTTCAAAGTGTCCTTTCTTTTGGTTTCAGCTAAAGCCTTTCTGAGAAAAAGAAGCTAAATATGCCGGCAAATATTCCTGTCCAATAACTTTATGAGGCTAGCTAAGTGTGCCCAAAAGTGTTTCTGTGTGCCATTCTAACCTTGCAAACACATACTCCATGACCTTGAGCTACATAAGCACACCCAGGAATGTGTCTACCATCTTTCCTTCTTGAGCTCTGACCTTAAACCAAGCATGCTCTGGTTTCCTATATGAATGTAGACAGGCTTTCTGAATAAAGTCCACGAGCTTCCTCTGAGGAGGACGCAGCATTTGGAATAGCACCAGTTCTCCTCCTGCCTTAACTCCTGTCCAGGGCCTGCCTGAGGACCATTTCTCAGCAGACTCCAGCTGGCTTCTGTCATGGTCATACCTCAGCCACTGTCTCCCACTGTCACAGCGCCCTTTGCCTTATTAAGACAGTAAGTAGTTCACGAACGTTCGCTACCATGAATCTCTTAACTTATAAGTAAGTCCCTTCCTGCCATTGAAATAATATTGTCTGTCCATAAAACTGCATTCATTAAGCAGCAATTCAGTGCCATTTAGTTATCAAAGGCACGTGAATGTTGACCAGACCTCTGATTAGCGTGAAAATTAACCTAAGTCAACAAAACCAAAGAAAAGCTTGTGTGCAACCTTGCATGTCAGTCAGCTAGGTATAATACAGATATGAGCAACAAAAAAATTCTGGAGGGCTTGAAGCTGGGGAGGGATGACTTAAGCTGTCACCAACACAAGAACGTTTGCATTTGCATAATGTGAAAACTCTTCAAAATCCAAATGAACAAATATGTGAGGTAGATTTGGACTGGCTGGCTGCTAAGATTATTGGGGGCACGTCAGACCGTTACAGATCCTCTCTTGAACAGGAAGCCAGCCCTGGAGAGAGACAGCAGCTCCCTGATGCACACGCCAGGTTTGAGGTTTCCACAAGCACACTCACATATGGTAGATTTGAGGCAGGTGTGAAGCTTGTTTGGCTGAGACCACCAGAATTCCCGCTGCTTCCTAGGCAAAAAAAAAAAAAAAAGAAAAGCAGTGATTTGCTGACTTCTGTAGGGTCAGCACTCATTGGAGCTGATTTCGGGCCACCACCCTGATTGCACTGAACTTGGATGTAAGGAGATGCCATAGCAGGCCTATGTTAGCTGGCTCCCGCACACCACTGTCATGGCCCCATTGCACTGGCATGTCCTGGTTCCTCACCTGCCATCTCCAGATCATTCTCTCTCTCCCTAAGAGCCTTCACTTTGAATATCATCCCCCATCTCTCCTGGTTTCTCCCATGCTTTCAACACTATTTGGTTATAATTCTCAATGATTTTATTAAGCATGTAAATATTCCTTCTAACCCCCTGGCCTTTGGGGTCCTTGATCTCCTTTGTTTCCAGTGGCCTTCCTCTCATCCTACCTTAGCCACTGCCTCTGCTGTAATACCCTAGACCTGTGTAGGGCCAGTATCTGCAAGCTCTTCATAATTGCAACTCCTAGCATCCCCTTTTTCCTACCAACAGCTCCTTTCTTCATAATCTCAATAGTCTGTTGACCCTATAGGACCAATAATCTATTCATTTACTTCTTTTTCACTGATCCTCACCTGCTTCATTTCCTCATATCTCTCCTTAACAGCTTAAATGCTATGGTCTCCCACTCCACTGATCCTTTCTTGATTTGCTGTTAAATTTAGCTCTGTTTTGTATGGACCTGCAGTCCAGGAAGCTGAGCAAATGCACTTCAGCTTTTTAACCTTGAACCTTAGTCAGGCCCTCACTGTAGATCATTCTGTATAGACCTAATCCCCTTGCTCTCCAGATCTTATGAAAACTTTCAAGCTTTCTCCTTCCCAACACTTTTTTGCCCTCCCTACAAGCTTATGACATTGCTACTCATTTCACTTAGAAAATAAGAGCAGCTAGAAGGGAACCCGCAAGTTCCCACCATATCCTCCATCCTCGCCTGTGCCCATATACTCTTTCTTCCTGTAACTATTCCTGTGGATGAACTGTCTGTGATCCTCTGTCAGGCTAATTCTGAACAGACCTCCTTGTGCTCAAGGACATCACCAGTACTTCTGTTCTTTCTCCTGAAGAAAAAAAAAATCCTGCTTACTGCATCATTCCTACAAGCATTATTTACCCCATCTTTAAAAAAAAAATCTTTCATACCCATACCACTTTCTCACTGCTCTGTTCTGCTCTGCTTTATACCAAAAGATCTGAAAGAGTTTTCCATGCTTGTAACCAGTTTCTTCAAGTACTGCTCTAATAAGGATTTCGGCCCCATCCTCCACTGAAACTTTCTTGTCAGGATCACCCATGACCTCCACCCATATTGCTAAATTTTCTGATAAATTCTCAGCTCTCTTGGCAGCAATTGATAGTTGATTCGGACACAATACAGTCTTAATTTTCACCCTGCCTCACTGGTTACTCCTCCTTGTCCATCACTAGTTCCTTTTCTTTTTTTTTTTTTTTTTTTTTGATCTCTAACATTGGTAAAGCCTTAGACCTCTTCTCTCTTCTACCTTCACTCAGTCCTTTGATGATTATAACTAACCTCGGTGCACAAGGTGAGGGTAGTGGGTTGAGACTCAGTAGCTGAGGTCTCAGCTCAGCCTTGAAAGATGAAACTCTTTATTTTAGTCTATTAGGCTGTCCTAATAAAATACTATAAATGGAACAGCTTTAGAAATAGCTATTTATTTCTCACAATTTCAGAGACTGGGTAGTCCAAGATCAAGTATCAGCAAATGTGGAATAGGATGAGGGCTCTCTGCTTCAGGAATGCCACTTTCCAGCTGTGTCCTCACATGGCAAAGAGGCAAACCAGCCTCTTCTCTGGGGTTCTTTTATAAGGTCACTGATCCCATTCACAAGGGTTCTGTCCTCATCAACTAAGCTCCTCCTAAAAGTCCCACCTCTTAATGCTATCGCTTTGGGGATAAAACTTTAATGCATGAATGGGAAATTGGGTCAAAACATTCAGACCATGGTTCTTTTTAAGTTTAATTTAGTTCCTCAAGCAATTTTCTCTCTTTTCTAGCTGATACGATTATTCTGATACCCATACTATTTAAGATGTTTAGGGTATATAAAAAGATCGATATTTGGATTTATAAACCATAGTATGTGTTCTTGCATCTGCTAGCTTCTCTTTATCTCATGTTAACTTCACTGATAGAACACCAAGTATTTTCTGATGGCACAGCCTGAAGCCAGGAGTAAGGACCTCACTTACCTCTTCAGAAGGTGGTTAGAAGGGATTAGCCCAGCACAGGTAGCAAGGTCTGAGATTTTCCGGGCCTGCCACCAGAGGGCATCATTCTGGTCCACAATCTGGAGGATGTCCCCTTTCTGGAAAGGCAATCCAGCATCCACACAGGGAATGCCAGGATCCTCTTGGGCCAATAATCTGTCATGGCACGAACGTGAACCTGATGGCAGGTGCATAATGGTGCCATCAGAAGAATACTTGCCCGTGGGTTGTCATGTCTTGAAACCACTTCTCCCATTCCTCCACCTGATGTTCCTATTTGTCTTCCTCACCATCACCACAAAAGAAAACTTGCCTCCTGAACTAAATATCATAAAAGAAAAGTGTATTGGGGAATATACTCTTTTAGCTCTGAAATGCTTTTGCTTAAAGTCTCACCATTTTTTTGGTAGTGAAACTATAGTTTACTAGAATAGAAAAGACACTTTCAGAGTTGAAAGTGGGTTGTCTCAGAAAGAGAGACCCTTATGTACACGCCGGCACAGGCTTTCATTGAAATTTAAAGGGCTTGGAACATCATGTTCCTCCTCAGGATTAGCCTGCAGGGAGGGATTAACATGAAAGTTGTGAAAAAAACTACTGTACATCTTAAGAATCACTCTGCCCATGTGATTACCCATTACCACCTAAGAAAAACCCACAAGAAAAACAAATCAAATCTTCTCCATTTTTGATGTTGCTTCTGGACTTTGTGGTATCCCCTCACCTTTTATGGTGTTCCTTTACTCATTTTGCCTCTCAGGTCAGCAGTCTTAAACACATATCCAAAACAGTATATAAAATAGGACATTCTATGCCAGATTTAGTCACTGCTATTGTAATTCAGCAGTTCACGGTATGTGCAACTCGGTAAATTCTTACCATCTTCTGACTATTCAAAGGAGGGTCAGACACTGGAACCACCTTGAACATGATTGTGCCACGAGACATAGCCTAGAAAATGACCAAGGGGGAGTTAGCAGGGTTACTGGGGTTTGGTAAATGGAGTTACAACTGGATGTGTCCAGGTCTAATAATGACAGCCCCCACAGTGACTTCCTCTGGGCTTAATAGCCGTCACCACTGAGGAATGGAAATTAGGAAATATAGCTCTGTGCCTGCTTTAATATAGGGCTCCAAAGTCACTGGTTGCTAAAACCTATACTGGGGTGGCCTCTTCCCAGGCCCCTTCATCTCACTGCCAACAGAAACACTCCTCTCAGGAAGACAACCTTCTCACAGGCCCAGGGGAAGAAAGGAGACCTCTGCCTTCATTTCCTCCTCACCCCCTCACTTGGTAAGCTTTTTATGAACACCTGTTTCTGAACCAGATGCCCCAGTCCGATGGGGAAGATGAGTGGCTCCCAAGTGTTCTGAGAGAACTGAAAAGTTTTTAAACTAGTGGTGGAAGTGGGGAGGCCCTCAATTTGATAGAACAGAAGAAAACCTCCTAGCCTGATGCAGGAGGTAAGGGTGCCACTATTACATACACTGTGACAGACATCAAAGATCATTCTTACCCTTAGGATTCATAATCCCACTGTCCTAGCAACACCCACAGCTGACACCAGGAGAGCTGAGGTTGATGCATGCATGTCTGTGATTTACAATACTTCCAGCTTCATTTGCAGCACCTTATATACCATATAGAATCTTGCAGTAGTAACTTGCAAAAAATTCTTAGGTACCCACTATATTCCTTATCATGTCACTTCTCACCTCAGTCTCTAAGCCATTACTGTGAAAGCTTAGAGTTCCCCCAGACACCCAGATTGAGAACCACTCATACATATGATACAGCATTCTAACTCAGGCCCCACCTTTAAAGGGTGCATAGAAGAGAAGCTATGTTGCTAGCTATGGCTAGCAACAGCTGAACTGTCATCCAGGGAATGGGCTGAGAGGGTGAAAAGGAATTTAAGAGAGATCAAAGGCTCCATGGAAGCAGGTTAAGAATCTCCAGATCCAGCCAAGGAACACAGAGACAGGGCGAGCAAGGATGTCCTCCTTCCAATGTACTGCCATCTAGTGACTACTTTCTTCCCTCAGAGCTATGTGGAGGAAGTTGGCAAACAGATCTGAGCTGTATAAAAAATGCTGGGGGAGCAAAGCGTGACTTGACTCTCCTCCATAGTCCCACTCTGCCTACTCAGGCTCAGTTTCCAATGGCACACCAGACGATGAGGGACCCGAGCTGAAACAGGGCAGGGGAGCTGATGATCCTCTGAAGGAGAAGCTTGGGAAGTGATGTTTCCCAGCCAGGGCCAGAACTTCTGGTGGGTGGGGGAGAGTAAAGGAGGAAGGTCAGTGAGCTACATGACAACTGACAAGGTGTGGGGACCTTGGGACAGGAAGTCACTGAGAGGGACCCACATGGCCATCACATACTGCACACACCATGGGGCTTGGCATTTTGCTAAGTCATGAACAAAAAAGCAAAGAGAAGACAGTTACCAGAATATGGATCACTTGCTCAGGATCCAGTCCCTCCACTGAAACTCCATTCACTTCCACCAGTTTGTCTCCAGCATACAGCAACCCTAAGTAAATAGAAGCACAAAGGAAGGAAGGGTCCAAAGAAATAGACCAGAGTATAAGTATCCCAATGGCTACTTATGACACTTACTAACCCAAACATGTGCTAAAATTTCTAACTAAAAAAGCAGAGTAGTTATTCCAACTCATATTACCACAGAAACCTGTGAGCATTCCATTTTTCTTCCTTTTTACCCACACTAATGGTGATATTTTTATTTTTGCTAATCTAATGTAAAGTGGAATCAGAATACTGGTAAGAAGATAGCACTAAAAATAAAGATGTCAGGTTTGTGAGTAAATGATAAATGAAAAGGAAAAAGTTATGGGGTGTATTCTTGAAAACAGAATATGTGGAGAAATTTGGGGGTCAAGATGAAGCCTTAACACTAGCGGTTCGGAGTGGGGGGGGGGATGGGAGTGGGGAAACAAGTATGAAAATACAGTTCCATCGGAGGAATTAGCTCTAATGTTCTATAGCACAGTAGAACTACTTCACAACAATCTGTTCTATTTTTTAATTTAAAAAAATACAAGAAAGGAATTCAAAGTTTCTCAGCACAAAGAAATAATAAATGTTTAAGGAGAAGGAAATACTAATTTCTATCTGATCCAATCATTACACATCATATAAATGAATTAATATGTGTAATCATTATGGGTCTGTTTTTTTTTTAAAGATTGAGTCTTGAGAAATATGAGGTAAGACAGGGAGGTATTAAGAGAGATGAGATAAAAAGCAGGGTGATGTTGTATGATAGATGATGATGAAATAGGAGATGATGAAAATATCAAGAGGGCTAGTGGAGCACCTGCTTAGCAACAGTGAGGCCCTGAGTTCAACCCCAGTACTGCCAAAAAAAAAAAAAATCGAAAAAGGTGTCAACAGCAATAAATATGGTTGAGAAGGAAAAAGTGAACCTGAGGATGAAGGAAGGGCCAAGGGACTTAGCAAGTAGGAATTCCTTGGTATTTTCCAGAAGAGTGTTGGGTATCTGCCATACACAGGCTTAGGGGCAGTTTGTAGCAAGGACATGAGGTGCTAGGTGTAGAAACACTGGTTTCAAAAGCACAAGGTGAAAGGAGGAAAATTTGCTTAACTGGTGGAATGAGCAAGCAAGAGGCATTTCAAGGTGGGAAGAACTGTATTTGAAAGCAAAAGGGTCAAAAGGCTGGGAATGGAGAACCAGGCACTCGAATCCTGACTCAAACTGTGCAGTCTTGATGGAGTTAGTTACCTCATCTCTGTGAACGTCAGGTTTCTCATGTACAAAATAGCACAACAGTGCCTATCTGGTTAAGTTGCCCTGAGAATGTCAACCAAGAGTACATCAATATTGTGCCCAGAATGGGAGGGACTCAATGAAGGAAGGAAGCAAAATTTCCCTGGAATATTTGCTTCATCTTTCTTACTGTTTTAACCAAGCAATGGAACTTCCAGAAGCCCTGCACTGTTAGGAAAGGGGGTCCTCTGAAAAGAAAACCACACCATTGAGCGTGTCCTATTTGTCTGATCACACCTGCACCATGCTGCTCCAACTTACCACTCCTTTCCACCAGCCCACCATGAATGACCCTGGCCACCAGGATGTCCCCTGTCATCTCATGACGCTTGATGGTAGCTCCCTGGAGAGAGAATACAATGGGGCCCCTCTTTATCTAATGTGACCAATCCAGTGGTGGCTTCTCTCAATCAATGCTGGTCTGGTCTTTCAGATAAGAACATTCATACCAACCCGGGAGAGAGGTGCCACACAGTGGTCTCTCAATCATGTCATGCCATCAAAAAGGAAAGGCCCAAACAACCACATAGACATAAAAGAATATTTAGATGCTCCCAAAGATAAAGCAAACTCCTGTGATTACAACCTAACTTTGTTTACTCTTAGAAAATCAAATTAATGTCTTACGTAGTTTCCCACTGTAGAGGAGAAAAATTGAGGCAAGTGGAATTGAGTGAAATATATGCACTATCAGAAAGCCAGATAATAATATAAAAATATATGTGCCTTATTTCTCACAAAAATAAGTCTTAGAAATCTTATCTTACTTTCACAAAAGAAAAATACTAGCAGAAATCTTTCCAAAGTGAAAATGTATGGCATATAATGTGTTTGAAACCACAGGCAAAATCATATGGTTTACTTTCTATTCTTATTGTTTTATGTATGACCACAGATAATAATTTAGTTCCTGATTATTAATTAATTGTATAATCCTAAACAAAAAGATAAAATGTTCTCCTTACCAGGGGTTGTTGGTTTTTCACTAAACAGACAATCCTCATTGCTTCCTCACTCTCTGGGATATTGTCTGGCAGTGGGGGGAGAAGGGGTTCAAAGTCTTTCTGAGCAACCGTGTCATAAGCACTGAGCAAGGCCTGGGAATAGGAAAGGAAATGTCACACACGGGACATGTGCATCTAGAAGATGGTGACTCAATAATCTGTAAGACACACAACATCAACAAATACCAACATGTACATGCCAAGCCTGGTTCTAAGCAAGTTCCACCTTCACAGCAATTCTGAATCTATTGTCTCCCATTTATACATAAGGAAACAAGGCAGAATGACACTAACCTCTTCCACAGTGCATACTCTCTTTCATATATTATTTCATGATATTCTTATTTCCTAGAAGCCCATGTAATCCAAGGTGCTCTTACAGAGTTTGAACTACAAAAGTATTTTTATAATGTTTTCTTTGAGGCAGAATGAGGGGCAGTGATCGAAACATCTCACTGGTTATTTTGTCAGTAACACTTGAGGGTTCTTTGGAACAAAATGAAAAAGAGTAGTTCCCTGGTTTAATTCCTTCTGAAGGTCGTGCTGTTAAATCTTCATTTCCCTGGATGAGAAGGGTATTGCTGTTCTACAACCCTGTCTAAGATTGGTGGACAAGATTTAGTTGGAACTTAAGAGAAAATTCTCTACGTAGGGGATACTGTTGAGGGCATTTGATAACCATTGGTTATCTTGGGAACTAACAATTTTGACCAATAAATTCCATTGCTCCAAATTCAGTCCTTCTCTTAAAAAATTCTAATTTGTTGACAAATTGATCTCTGAATCTGTAAGGTTTGTTTTTGAAGTGTTTTTTTGTTTGTTTGTTTGTTTTTGAGACAGGATCCCACTGTGTAGCTCATGCTAGTCTGGAACTCACAATCCTCCTGCCTCAGCCTCCCAAGTGCTAGGATTGTAGGTGTGCACCACATTTGTAAGTCTTAAGAGGAGATTTCTGTTGTTTAATTAAATGTTTTTCATACATCCCTTCACAGGAGTTAATAATCATCACTTTACTGTATATTTCAAATACCTTCACACACTGTATCCAAAATTAAAAACATTCCCAGATTGGAAAGAAAGTATGGAGATTATTTCTCTATAACTAGAGCTTCCCTGATGCCTCCCTTCCCAGAATTTTAGAGGACAATGTATTTTTGGGGAAACAAGACACCATGGAAAGTTCTGGATGCTTCCTCATAAATAAGATAGGTTTAGCTCTGTGATTGACAACACTGAGCTAGTCACACATGAGACTTACATTTTCAAGTACACTCTGTTGGTCACCTGTGTATAGAAATAGAACATCTATTGAGAGAGCACATTTTCTATCACATTTATTTATTCTTCTCAACTTGTATATGTGCCAGATGCTGTTTTCTGTCCATGTTAGCAAGCACTTGCCTTGTAGTGTGGAGACTGGAGGATTGTCTCAGCTCTTGATCTCAGAGGAATTAGGAGTTTCACGTAACAGCTCCATGACCTGACTCAAGGATAAACATACATTATAAAAATTTTTTTTAAATCTTTATCACCTGGTCAACCTCAGCCAGACTGAATAGCAGATATACTGACTAACATAATATTGACCTAAGAAAAGTTGTTATTGAAGCCTTCTTTTTCATCTTTCAAGTCAGGGCCTAGTAGCTTTTCTTAGCCATTAAATTTCACTACAGCGAGCAGAATCCATGATTGGTGGTAGGTCAAATCCCAGTTCCAGCCCTGGCACAACTTGTGATAATGTGTACCAAGGCTGAAGTAGCAGTTTGTTAATGTCAAGGCTTCATAGGCAGATGAAGCTGGGTTTAAGGTAAGCTGGAGAACTCAGGTAGCTTAGTCCCATAGGATGTTCCACTCTTCAAATGGAAAATGGGAATAATAATTTCTATTTCAGGGTATATTGTTTGATTAATCACTTTAACGTTTGCTGTTCTATAGAAATAATAAGCAGAATAAACCTTGATCTCTTGCTGTGGTTTACGTGTAAACCTGTTTTAGAGGATGTAAAGCCTTTCAATACCTTGTTGGACCCATGAATCCTCAGCAGCTAGGCATCATTACATACAGTCAAATGAAAGTAATAGATTGCAAAGCTTCACCTCCATCCACTAGGACTACACTGAATAAAATGCCATGTGTGCATGATTCTATAGACCACTGAGAACACCTTGAGTTGTTAATTATTGGCATTGAGAATAGAGTTTTTCCTTCTTTCTTTTTTGATTTTATGGTCTAGTCAATAAATACTAATAAAATTGATTGCATTTAATTATTCACTCAATAAGTATTTATTTAACCTTTTATGTGTTAGGGACTGTTTTAGGTGATATAGAAACAGCAGTAAACTAGAAGATAAAAATTCTCATTCTCCCAGAGTTAACATTCCAATGAGGAGATACAGATAATAAATAAAAGATAATAAACAATATTTATTTATTTATTTATTTGGTATGGGAGTTTGAACTCAGGGCCTCACCCTTGCAAGGCTCTACCACTTGAACCACTCCACCAGCCCTTAAACAATTTTTTTGATGGTGAGAAGAGTTAAGAAGAAAAGGAAATCAGGGAAGTTGGCTAAGATGTGCCAGGAGGGGATGCCATTTTAGATGTGTGATCAGGGAAAGCCTCATTGAAGAGATGACATTTGAGTGGAGAAGAGAGAGCAAACCATGTGGATACATGAGGAAGAACCTGACTGATACAGAGAGTGGCAAGTGCAAAGGACCCGTGGCAGGAGCATATCTGGTAAATTCAAACCATCCTAAGGGAACAATATAGCTGGAGCAAAGTGAGCAGGCGAGAATACTAAGTGAAAAATCAAAATCATCATGGCAGCTCAATTATAGTTGGCTATGTAAGAATTTTGGTGTTTACTCAGAGACGGGAAGTTGTAAGAAGTATTTCAACAGAAAACTGACATGATTTGACTTAGTTTTAAAGAGGATTTCATTGGCTGCTGTGTTGGGACTAAATTATAGGGGGGCAAGGGTAGAACCAGGAGACCATGTAGGAGGCTATATTGCAATGACCTGTGTAAGAGGTGATGATGGCTTGTATTAGATGGCATAGGGCTGGTAAGATTTGGGGTATATCTGAAAGTGGAGCTGGTAGGATTTGCCATCAAATTGGGTGTGAGATATGAAAGAAAGAGAGCAAAGTTGTCCCCAAAGGTTTTGGCCTGAGCAGAGAACAGAGATGTCATTAATTGAAATAGAAAAGGCTGCAAGAAGAGTGTGGACTGAGGGGAAGACAGGGGCTCAGTTTGAGTTAAGATCAAGGAGTATAAGTAAGGTGGGAGAAGACAGTTGACAGATGAGACTAGAATTTAGATGCAGAGTCCGGGTTGCAGATATAAACTGGAGAAATCATTATTACGGCATTGCCCTGTTTAACACAGTCAACTGAGTCTAAAGGAAAATGGGCACATACTAAAAACATGTGTGTGTTGGGGGGTTTTTTAGTTTGAGGACATTGCCAGCCAGTGTGGGGAGATGGCTAGCCAATTTTCTTCCTTATATTGAAATTCACTTAAATACATTTATTAAGAGGCAAAATTGGGCTGGGGGCATGGCTCGAGGGATAGAATGCTTGCCTAGATGCACAAGGCCCTGAATTCATAAAAGCATAATCATCAATGAAACTTTTTCAACAGAGCTTTCAATTCATTTAAACAGGCACCACAGATAGCATGGAATCAGTGCTTTACTCCTCCCTTACCTCCTGGGATAACTTCTGTGCATGTGTTGTGGCAGGAACTGGTTTCTTTTCTTTAAATTCCTGGAGGCAGTCATACACCTGCAGAGGGCGAAGAGTGGGAGAACTGACATAGTAACATGACTAGTACCATTTTGGAGTTCAGGCTCTCAAGGGGAAGAAGCAGCCCTGGACAGCTGTGCAAACAGCTGAATAGCATGACTATTACTTAATAAAGTGTATGTTTTTAACTGCCAAAGAGAAATGAAGTCAAGTTTTGTGGCTCCAATGCTTCAGAGGCTTAGGTATTGCCTGTCACTAGGAAACTGATCTTCCCTCAGCAAGTTCATTGATAAAGAGAAATGCAAACTTCTGTTGTTAAACTGAGGAAGGATAAGATTCCCAGGACTGATACCATCAGGGATTTGCAGAAGACGCATGCAGGATATCTCCAGGGAAGGGTTCTGTGGGGCCAGAGACCCATGAAGACTTCTGCACTGGATAACTGTGCAGGGCATGATCTGTGTGACCCCACCAAGAGTCCCAAATAAGAGACAGCTTGCTGTGTTTGCTTATCTGAACTCTGCTCTGATCTTGTGGGCTGTTTGTTTCTCATTCCTCCCTTCATTCTCCAGTACAGCTTCATATGTACAAATTCAACTTCTTTTCTACTGATTCTTAGGAATTCTTTTTCTATACTGTATCTAGGGTTGAGCTGAGTACACCAAAGCCCTTTATCTTATTTTGGGAATCAAGTTTCTCTGACAGATGGAAAAAGTGGGTCCAGGAGCCAGCTCAGCCCAGCCTATTCTATCCACATCTGTGATGACATAGCTTCCCTGCTCTTCCTTAGGGCTAGGACTCAAGTGTACCTGGAAGTCATCAAGGCTGACTGATTGATACAGGAGCACAAAGCATGAACAGCCTACGAGTGACAAAGGGCAACACTTATAATGAAATTAAAACTTCCAGTCAGGCACCAGTGGCTTACACCTGTAATCCTAGCTACTTGGGAGGTTGAGACCAGGAGGATTGTGGCTCAAGGCCAGCCTGAACAAATAGTTTGTGAGACACCATATCCAAAATAACCAGAGCAAAATGGACTCAAGCAATAAAGTGCCTGCATTGCAAGCACAAAGCCCTGAGTTCAAACTCCAGTCTCACCAAAAATAAATAAAAGTAAATGAATTAATTACTTTAAAAAAATGAAAACTTCCATTTTGGCTGATTCCAGAAGGGAAGGTCTGGTAGAAATCAAGTTAATTCTTCCTAAGCTAAGAGATGAATGTAGCTCTTATCTGAAGATTGTCTTCTGAAAATATTTGCATGTTGAAATTTCCTGCTAAGGATCAAGTGACACCACTGGGTAAGTAGTTTCTAAGATTTGAATATTTATGTCCCTGAAAAATTCATATGTTGAAACCCTCACTTCATAGGAGGCAGAATCTCTGGGAGGAATTAGGTCAGTTGATAGAAATGAAATTAATGCCCTTGTAAAACAAGCCTGAGAGAGAGAGTCTTTGGTCCCTTCTGCCATGTGCAGTCACAGCAAAATGACAGTTTTCTTAAGGCTGAGGAAATGGGCTCTCACCCAACACCACATCTGCCAGCCTCCAGACTCATGAGAAACAAATGCCTGTTGTTTATAACCTTCCCAGTTTATGGCATGTTGTTACAGCAGCCTGGATGGACTGACAGTAGTTTCTGCCAGCCACAGTGAGCAGGAGCTTCCAGCCAGGGAGCGCTCACCTTTAGCAGAGCCTGCAGCCATGGGGAATGAAGGAGGTCATATAAGAGACACACTCCGTTCACATCTCGGCTGTAGAAGAGACTTAGCTCTTGCAGTAGAAGCCTCAGGATTCTGGAGAGGCCTAGAAGAGGAAAAGGGCAGAAACCAGGTGGCAGATGGGTGATAAGAATGACAGGTGTGAATGTGAAAGGTCACTTTGACAGCTAGGCTTGCCATGGGCTCTCATGAGGAGTAGAAATAATGCTAGATTTAAAGCCAGAAGAGCTGGCTTGAAGCCCTATTCTATCACTGTAGTGAACTTCATATCACTATCTGAAAACGTTTCCTTGTGCAAAGTGCAAATGTGTTAGCTTTCTTGTAGGGCTGTGGCTAACATTAGATGAGATAGGTGATAATATGTAGATATAAGACATGATAACAGTAGTATGACTGCTTCTTCTCCTCCATCTGCAGCCTGTGGTTTATCCCAAAGTTGTCTACTTGTTTTCTGGATCTTCTGAGTCACTTGTTTTCCCTATTTCTGAAAATACTTATTAAAAGTGTTATTGAAAAACTCTAAAATCCAATTAGGTTTTAATACAAATCTCAATATTCTAAGAAGAGGACTAATAGATTATAATGAATGCATGATAGTATTGTAAAAAATCTACTTTTGTAGTGGTATTTTTAATCTGAATAAGCTACACAGTTCTAAGTATTACACAAAGCGTTGTGGGATGGGGAAGGTTCTGAATCTACCATGTCAATTTCTTTCCTCCCTGCCTTGAAAATTGCTCTCAAAATTATCACTATAGTTGTAGTAGAGCAATCAAAAGTATAGGAAGAGTCCCTTGTGGGGATAATGGTAAATCTATTAGAATCTCTCCCTGTGTACTTGATCACACATTCAGAGTGAGTTCATAAAGGCTTTCTGGTCTAGAAAAGGAACCCTGGCAACACATACCATTCTCAGGATTGGTTGCTGTAGAAAGTGGGTCTGCTGGTGGGTCTGGTGGGTCTGCTCCTTTGTCCAGCTGTTTCATTCTCCCTGCTTGAGCTTAGAAGGCCACTGAGCACTAGGAAGCAGATCAATAAACAATACATAGCTCACTCAATTGCACTGGCCATGCAGCTCTAAGCAAGCCAGAGTATATTTTCAGTAGAATTTTTGGGCAAGCCAGGCACTGAAGAGTACCAGCATACATAGCAAGCAAAACATAGTGTGGCCTGTGGCATCTACCCTCAAATTTACCATCACCAGTTGTGTGAAGAGAAAAAACTAGGTGAGGGAGGGTGCAAGACTCCATAGAAGTTGCAAAGTGTGGCTCTGCCCTGGCCTGATGCCTCCTGGGATTCCAAGATGGCGGCTAGAGTGAGGAAGCAGAAAGTGTGCCTCCTAAAGTAAAATCTTGGAGAGACGCTGGAGATACACCTTACAGCGTGTATCTCCACACCTCCAGCCCACGCATAGCATCTCCACTCCACGTTAAATGGAGAAACCAGGAGGGCTCCCGCGCTGCCGCCAGACCCCAGTGTCCAGATGGCTTGGGAAGACAAAGACTACAAGGTGAGCTAAGTGGTATGTGGTACTCCCACAGACAATCCTGGGCCAGATCAGCATAGCCCCCTGGACAGACCGACCCCCACCCAGGGAAAAAAGAAAAAAAACTGAGTAATAAGCAATAACAACAAAAAAGACACATAGCAAAGAGGGCGGGGCACCCTGAGCTCCTAAGAGGTGGGGAGGGGCAATCCCTTATGGAACTGTAAATAAACAAGCCAGCTGGAGAAGGCAGGAGCAGCAGCACCTGCCCAGCACCCAGGAGTGGGAAAGCTTGTAAAAGTGGTGGTGGGAGGAAAACTCCACAGGAGAAGGGGGAAGACCAACTTCCCACATGAGCTGTAAATAAACAAGCTGCCTGGAGAATGCAGGTGTAGCACCACCTGCATTCTCATGTGCTTGGAAAGGGGAAATCTTGATGCAGTGGCGGTAGCGCCCAGGAGAACTCTAAGTAAGCAAAGCCTGCAGGGCCAGGTAAGTGTTAAGCTCACCCCTGAGACCTGCATAAATAAAGCCTCCAGCAACAGCAGGCTGACAGCAGTGGGCAGGTGAGCCACAGCCTCAGATAGCCATTCACAGAACTGTCTCCAGACTCTTTTTTTTTTCATTTATTCCTTTGATGAGACAACTGAACTACACCTGCATGCTGAAAAACTTACTGAAACTGTATTGCATTTGAACTTGGGACACTTTGTGGTGTTTTGTGTGTGTGTGGTGTGTTGTTTTGTTTTGTTTGGTTTGGTTTTTTTCCCCTTTGATGACACAACAACAGAACTACTTCTGAGACACCATCTCCAGGATTGGAGGCTGAGGGACTAACACCAAAATTATTAAGACTGAAACTTTATTGCATTTGAACTTGGAGATTTTTTTAAATCATTTTTTTTTCATTTATTTATCTTTTTTCAATCCTCTCCTGTCTCATGCCTGTTCACCTTACTGTCAATTAGTGCACTATCTCTCCCTGTTTATATCTTTGAACTTTTGTTTGTTCTTTGTTTTGTTTTTTCCTACTTGTTTGTTTTTCCCTATTTCTTTAACTTCTTTGCTTTCCATCTCCTCTCACCCTTCGATTTTAAATATTACCATTGTTATTATTACAAGCTAGAAAATACTTAACTGCACACAGTACAGGGACAGTAACAACACGAAGGGCAATGACGGGAAGACAGAAAAAACATGGAAACCAGTTTCCCCACAGCAAAAAATAAATATAGCAACCAGAGGGGAATGAAGAAAACAGATACTCAGATCCAGACTCCAACAAAATGAAGTTAAACTATACCAAAGAACCCAATGAAGCCCACAAGAATAATCTAAAAAGAAGAAATTCTACAGGTAATCAATGAGAATTTTATAGAGATGATACTGGATATGGTCTACCAATCCAGGAGACACTCAAGAAATTCCAAGACAACAAAAATAGAGAATTTGAAAAAGCACAAGAAGAAATAAAAGAAACCATAGAAGCATAAACACCAAAGCAAAACAAAGAACATGATTAATAAAGAGATAAACAAACTCAGGGCAAAAATAGACAACATTAAAGAGGAAGGGACTCAGGATATGGAAAACCTCAGAAAAAAGAATGAAACAGAATTGTAAAACAAAATGGAAGGCCAATCAAGCAGAATAGAACAAACAGAAGACAGAATCTCAGAACTTGAAGATGAAATGGAAATTTAAGGAAAAACCAAAGAACTATTAGTTAAACAACTCAAGACCTGTGAAAAGAAAATGCAAGAACTCACTGACTCCATCAAAAGACCAAACCTGAGAATCATGGGCATTGAAGAAGGAGAAGAGGTGCAAGCAAAGGGAATGCGCAGTATATTCAACAAAATAATGACAGAAAATTTCCCAAATCTAGAGAAATCCATTCCCATACAGATGCAAGAAGCCTCCAGAACACCAAACAGACCAGATCAAAACAGATCTACCCCACAGAATATTATTATTAAAACAACAAATACAGAGACCAGAGAAAGAATACTGAATGCTGTAAGAGAGAAAAAACAAATAACATACAAAGGCAAACCCATCAAAATCACAGCGACATCTCAACAGAAACATTAAAAGCAAGAAGAGCTTGGGGAAAGATCTTCTGGCACTGAATGAAAATAACTTCAACCCCAGGATACTCTACCCAGCAAAACTATCATTCAAAATAGATGGAGCAATAAAAGTCTTCCATGATAAGCAGAAACTAAAACAATACGTGACCACAAAGCCACCACTACAAAAGATTCTTCAAGGGATTCTGCACATAGAAAGTGAAACCCAACATAACTATGAAAAGACAGGCAGCACCAAACTACAGGAAAAGAAAAAGCAAGAAAGTAGAGAGTAACCTCATCTTAGGTACACACAATCAAATGTTCAAACAACTAAGACAACTAAATGACAGGAATCACCACATACCTGTCAGTACTAACACTTAATATTAATGGACTTAATTCCCCCAAAAAGGCACCGTTTGACGAATAGGATTAAAAAGGAAGATCCAACAATTTGTTGCTTACAGGAGACCCATCTCACTGACAGAAATAAGCACAGGCTTAGGATGAAAGGCTGGAAGAAGATGTACCAAGCCAATGGCCCCTGAAAATAGGCAGAAGTAGCAATACTTATCTCTGACAAAGTAGACTTCAAACCTACATTGATCAAACGAGATAAAGAAGGACATTCCATACTAATAAAAGGGGAAACAGACCAAAAGGAAATAACAATTATTAACCTATATGCACCCAATGTCAACGCACCCAATTTCATCAAACATACCCTGAAGGACCTAAAAGCATATATCAACTCCAACACAGTGGTTGTGGGAGACTTTAACACCCCATTATCATCAATAGATAGGTCATCCAAACAAAAAAATCAATAAAGAAATCCAAGATCTAAAATATACCATAGATCAATGGACCTAGTTGATGTCTACAGAACATTTCATCCAACCTCTACACAATATACATTCTTCTCAGCAGCCCATGGAACCTTCTCCAAAATAGATCATATCTAGGGCACAAGCAAGCCTCAGCAAATATAAGAAATAGAAATTATTACCGTGCATTCTATCTGATCACAATGCAGTAAAAGTAGAACTCAACAACAAAAGTAAGACAAAAACATGCAAACAACTGGAAACTGAATAATTCATTACTTAATGAACAATGGGTCATTGATGAAATAAAGAGGAAATTAAAAAAGTTCCTGGAAGTCAATGAAATGAAACACAACCTACAGGAAACCTATGGGACACACAAAGGCATCCTGAGAAGAAGTTTATAGCCATGAGTGCATTTGAAAAAGACTGAAAGATCCCAAATCAATGACCTAATGATACATCTCAAACTCCTAGAAAAACAAGAACAAGAAAATCCCAAAACAAATAGAAGGAGAGAAATAATAAATAAAGCTGAAATCAATGAAATAGAAACCAAAAAAACCATACAAAGAATCAATAAAGCAAAAAGTTGGTTCTTTGAAAAAATAAACAAGATCGACAGACCCCTGGCAAACCTGACTAAAATGAGGAGAGAAAAAACCCAAATTAGTAGAATCAGGAATGCAAAAGGGGAGATAACAACAAACACCATGGAAGTCCAGGAAATCATCAGAGACCTTGAGAACCTATATTCAAATAATTTCAAATCTTTAAAGAAATAGACAGATCTCTAGATACATATGATCATCAAACTGAACCAAGGAATTAATGAACTAAATAGATCTATAACACAAAATGAAATTGAGCAGCAATCAAGAGTCCCCAAAAAGAAAAAGTCAGGACCTGATGGATTCTCTGCTGAATTCTTTCAGACCTTTAAAGAAGAACTGATACCAACCCTCCTTAAACTGTTCCACAAAATAGAAAGGGAAGGAAAACTGCCTAACATATTTTATGAAGCCAGTATTACACTTATCCCAGCCAGGCAAAGTCACCTCTGAAAGGAGAACCATAGACCAATCTCCTTAATGAACACTGATGTAAAAATCCTCAATAAAATAATGGCAAACCAAATTCAACAACACATCAAAAAGATTATTCACCACGACCAAGTAGGCTTCATCCCAGGATGCAGGGTGGTTCAACATACGAAATCAAAACGTAATAAACCACATTAACAGAAGAAAATACAAAAATCACATGATCATCTCAATAGATGCAGAAAAAGCTTTTGATAAGATCCAACACCATTTCATGATAAAAGCTCTAAGAAAACTAGGAACAGAAGGAAAGTACCTCAACATTATAAAAGCTATATATGACAAACCTACAGCCAGCATTATACTTAATGGAGAAAAACTGAAACCATTCCCACTAAAATCAGGAATTAGACAAGGATGCCCACTATCTCCACTCCTATTCAACATAGTACTGGAATTCCTAGCCAGAGCAATTAGCAAGAAGAAGGAATAAAAGGAAATACAAATAGGTAAAGAAACTGTCAAAATACCCTATTTGCAGATGACATGATTCCT